ATATATATATGTATATTCAGATTCATTTTTATTTGTCCAATATGGAAATAGCTTTGAGTACATAATTTATATTTTATTACAATTACATTGGTATCTTTATTTAGATGACCTCTATAAATCTTCTCCTGTTCGAATTCCGGGTCCTAGGAAAGTAGAAGAACTTGCCAAACGCATTGGAATCGATCTGAGTGACGATGAAGTTCAGGAGTATAGTGAGTTGATAAAGGGGCTTATGGGGTGTTTCGTCTCTGTGGAAAAAATACCAGAGCCGACACTACCGGTAAAATATCCAAGACTTCCCGGATACAGGCCATCGGCAGAGGAAAATCCTCTAAACGCATGGTACGTACAGTATGATAAAACACTCATTCAACTGTGAATAGTTGAACGCTTTCTCTCTGATTTCAAGATGCTGAATTCAAACAAAATTCATTTCATTTTTTAGTTCCTTTGTGACCTTAAGGTCACAAGGAACTAATGAGATAATTCGAACATGAAATGTGTGTGTGTGTGTGTGTGTGTGAGCAGCGGGTTTGTAAACGAATAGGCTCCTAAACGGTGCCTCACGGTGGGTATAATGTTTTCCTCATAGTAACTGGTGGACATGTAGTTGTGCAAAAATTGTTTGTTTTTTTATGTTAGATGAGAAATGTAGGACGTACGCGATAAAACATATACCCCCTACCACCATTTTTGAGTCGTTTTTAGGAGAAAATTCCGATATGCGATATGCGTCGGAAAAACTTTGCCGACATTTTGTTTTTCATCGCAAGGGGGTAAGCGAGCTCCATAATGCATACCTTGTTGGTGTAGTTGACCAATTGTTTACGGGATCGTCGGTAGGGTTAGGCCTCTGTCGTGTTAATGTAGCAGGTGCACGTGTTATTAAAAAGGAAAAAAGTGATCTAACCAAACACGGTCTTTACATAATGGTATTGGATTGAACGTGTTTAATATTTTGCGGAAATGTTGTTTTCTATCGCGAGAGTATACAGTTTACACTAGAGAAGTTGTTGTTTATGTGAACGTCTATGTCCTAGCGTGAACTGAGGTAGTTGTGGTAAGTCGACTACTGCTTGTTGTCTAGAGGTGTAACGTGTGTTTTAGTAAAAGTTAACGTGATCTGAACAACATTTTACATTATGGTATTGAATCGAATGTGCTTACCTACCTAAAGTCTTTTACACACGATGAACACGGCAATTGACGTTGCTGTTGGTGTGCAATACACTATAACAACTCCCTGGCAATATACGTACAAAACACGACGACGACAGCAGCATTCAGTCAGTCTTGTTAAAATATATAATATATTGGTCTACACAAGACTACCATACAGATCAATAAACAATAATCCGCGACAAAATAAAAATCAAGAGTATTTGTAACGATTGAATATGTAGCATAAATGCATTCTGTGAAAACCTGGTGTACAATTCAGGCCCGTAGCCAGGGGTTTTTTTATGGTTCGGGCGAACCCCCCTGTTTTCTAGCGAACCCCTTTCTTTTTGAATGAGTCCCACCCGTTTTTAAATTGTAGCCTGCATTACAAGCCTACATTCATAGAATATCTCACCTTCAGAAGTTCGGAGATTTAAATTAAAAACGCAATTCCAGCAAACCATGACTTTACGATGGCACACATAAGGATGGCAAACATCGATAAAAACCCGGCTGCCGTCTC